TGAGGTTGCTGTGAGCTGTGAGGCCATGGCACTTTTCCAAGGGGGACAAAGTGAGACTCTGTCTCAAAAAAAAAAAAAAAAGGGTAGACTAATTTTTTTATACAGTGCCCAGGATTAGAAATTATAGAGCTTTAAGGTACAACTATATAAAGTATGGTCTTCTTAACAGAATTGAATGGCTTTAAGAAAAGTACATTTTATAGCGCCATCTTCAAAAATCTTAAATAACTAATGGCAAGAGCTAAGCCCCTATTCTTTTAAAAAGATTTTTGCAGTAAATTGTCAAATTATAATTATCTACATTTATGGAGTACAAAATGGTGTTTATATATACAAAGTCTGACTGATTAAACGTAGCTAATGAACATATCACTCACCTCTAATACTTATTTTTTGTGTTGAGAACACTGAAATTTACTCTCTTTAGCAATTTCGAAACATATTGTACATTACTTTTAACTACAGCATTACAGCATGCAATAGATCTCAACAAATGTATTCTTCCTGGCTAAATGAAACTCTGTACCCTTGATGACCATCTCCCCGCTCCCCAACTCCCAGCCTCAGGTGACCACCATTCTCCTCTCTGCTCTGAGTTCAACTGTTTCAAGTTTCTCACTGAGATCATGTGGTACTCGTCCTCTTGCAGTGGCTTATTTCATTTAGATTTTCTCCAGCTTCGCCCATGTGGTCACAAGTGACAGATTTCTCTCTCTAGTTTCCTGTTGTGCGTGCACATCACATTTTCTTTGTCCATTCATCTGCTGATGAACACTAGGTTGATTTTAGGATCTATATCGCAGGCAGCATCAGGACAGAGGTTGAATCAGTGAGCACAAGATGAAGAGCCATGATTTTTGGCAGAGAGAAAAAAGAGGCCCTGGAAGAATCTGAGCTACCTCATATTACACAATCTGAGCACACACAGTGCCTATTCTATGCGAAACACTATCCTAAGGCTTCACTAATTTAACTGACTTAATTCTCCTACCAACCCCACGAGGTGACCTACTTGCTCCACCTCACTATGACGTCTCCCTACTACAGAGCTGCATCTTTGCATTTTCCCACCATTGTCCATTTAATACAGTTTGTGTATTTTCCAAATTGGTTATTTTAGCTAATGTACTTAAAAAGGAAAAATGTCTGCAAAGAAAATAAAAAAGTGAGAGTTGGTACAAACACTTAGTTCTGTGTACTCACCGCCACATTTGTCTCTTGCTCTGTTTCTGGCACGTAGGGGTAATGGTTATAAAACATATCATTTCGCACCATCTTCTTCCTCATCCTGCAGGGCCCTTCGGTCATCTCCAGCATCCACTTGTCTAGATGGGAGCCAATGGGAGGGCCCCACAGCCCCCGCTCCCGCAGCAGCTCGCACTCGATCTGGCACCACTCCTCCGTCACGTACTTGAGGGCATTCTGCTGGCGCTGACGGGGAAGAGTCCAGGTTGGTGGTCAAGCAAAAGCAGAAGTAACAATACAAAGTCTACAAGTCGTTGAAAATCAGTTACTATATGGAAACCAGCATAATCCACATTATTTCTGTCAATTATTATAAAAGTAAAATGACATTTATTTATGGTAAAGTAAACTGATGATTTAGTGGGGATGTGGCGTTTGCTGTGGGGACCCAAGAACATGATTTTTTTTTTTTTTTTTTAGAGACAGAGTCTCACTTTGTCGCCCTTAGTAGAGGGCTGTGGCGTCACAGCTCGCAGCAACCTCCAGCTCTTGGGCTTAGGTGATTCTCTTGCCTCAGCCTCCCAAGTAGCTGGGCATGAAGATAATTGTTTTAGTGCCCAGTAAATGACAGACACGTACAGGGTAGGGTATGCAACACGGTCCAACAGACCGTGGAACTTTGTTTTTCCAGCACAGGAAACGTGGTAACACTACTTACGAAAATATACTGAAATAGCCCTATGAGTTAATCAATTAACATGGTATTTTAAGGATGCCACAAAATTTGGAAATGAGTTACTAGAACCTGTATAGGAGAAATTTTAGAACTCAGATCAAGAAATAATAACAACAGACTAGATCAATGGTAAGCTTGGTAAATGTTTCCAAAGATTTTAGATAAAGAATAAAAACATGTACTACTGATAGGGAACTTGACTTTCACATAAAATTCAAAGAAAAACCATTTTCTATTGGCACTGAGATAGATCAAAACAATTTTACTGAAATGGAAATTACATCATGGCATGAGTTCTTTTTATCTGTCAAATGACAAGATGTATAACATTTCAACAGTAGATGATTATAACTAACTTACCTAATGATTCATAGACTATAAGAATATAATTTAAGTAGAAAAATAAAGATTTTAAAAATATAACAGTAAAGTTTGAGTGAATAATTATAATACTACATATCACAATAGTACTTATGTGTACCTTGAGGGGGAAAAGTTAAGGATCTCCTGTTATATCCACAAAATATTAGCAGTTAATCATTGAGGAATCTTTAATAGACTTAAAATGGCTGCTGTGGAAATAAAATATTTAGTATAAGCTTTTGAGTAATTATGAGTTCACCGAGGGTATTTCATGATATTTATTTTTCACTGACAAAATCACCAGGGACTTATAGCACAGTGAAAATGGAATTTCATTTCACTCTGTAATTTTTTTATAAATTTTAAGAGACTTCTCAGAGATTTCGATGTGTATTTTAACAATCTACTTGTTAAAGGTCTGAAAAGCCCTCATTGTTCCTCATAGAAGTAAAATGTGAATAAAGATCTGCTCTGTCAGTAGTGAATACCAACAGCATTCACCTCTGACTCCATTTGTTTGTAAATTTCAGATTAATATGAGGGCACAAATGATTAGGTTACTTTGTTTAAGGTCTTCACCCAGGGGGTGAGTTAGAGAGTGTGCCGTATACCCTTACATTGTGCCCATTTATTGCTTTTTTCAAATGTAGTTTGTTTAAAGAAGACTCAAATTTTTCATCTTAAAATCAATGGCCAAAGTAGCTGATGGCAGGGATAATTAAAATCATCATCTGATGATAAGTGCAGGTCAGCAATATACCCTGGAAATGGAAGGTATCAGTAGAAACAGTCAGTGGCTTCCAAGAAAGGCAGAATAAACCATTACTCTGATTCCAAAGATTCTTACCTCCTGATATTCCTTGTACTGTGTATCTACCAAGTCGCGAACGACAGCGATATGTGTAAACATCCACTGAGAAATCTCCTAACAATGGACGGGAAAAGAGTCTTAATTATTCCATGGATTTCCTGGAAAATGAGTTAACTACCCTTGAAATTAATACTTGAACATTAATTAAAATCCTGTCTAAAGCTCTCACTATAGAAAACAAAACCAAAAACACTTGGAATGAATTTTGTATGATGAATCAGATGAAGGGTAGTGTGATAGAGACCTGCAGTGAAGGGTAGTGTGATAGAGACCTGCAGTGAAGGGTAGCATGATAGAGACCTGCAGGGCTATCCTATTCCTCAAGCCCCTTCAGGGAAGGGCTATCTGCCCAGCTCCCCAAGTGCTGTCAACACCTTCAGAGACGGGCCAGCTGCAGAGAGCTGCTGGGTGATCTGGGTGTAAGAAGCTCAGCCTTCCAGCTCAGTACAGGTTGGCTCTGACAGGCTCCTCTGGCCTCAAGCCTCCACCTGGGTCAGCCGGGCTGTCACTAGGACTGCACCAAGTCCTGCTTCCTTTCCTCCCTCTCATAGGTACTGATCCCACGGGCACCTAATATATACCCTGCACACTGGACTCCATCTCGGGTATTCTTCCTGGAAAACAACCTGATGCAGGAAAGACCAGCGTACACGATTCCTCTCAGATCCTTTGCCACTTAGATTCTGGGTGATGAAGGAACCCTGATGAGTTAGAAGTTAATGCTAGTGGGAGATGAGTTCTTTAAAATACCAATCACAACAGAATTATTAAAAATTTAAAAAGCCCTGCTCTGTTACTGCTTTAAAATCTGTAACTATCAGTAACATTATTGGAAGTTGGAAAAATTGGGAGAAAATTCTCTGTATTTGATCACATATCCATCTGTGAATCTCATCTTATGTCCAATTATAAAATGGACGTAGGTATGCAGCACTCATAATGCAATTTTATCGTAATAAAATGGAAAAAGATCCCCAAGTTACTTCTCTTGTCTAAAGCAAAAACACAGAGATGTTTCATTTCAAATCATCCTTGTACATATTAAGTGTATTATATAACATAGTACAACCAGACCTTGAAATGTAAATTCCTAGTAATACCATCAGCAAAACCAAACAAAGTACCTGCGTGGAAAGACTGTGTTTATTGAGCCCGCTTTCCTTTCGATTCCTTCTCGATCCTGTTAACTTGGAAAGACCAAAGCCACTGCTGACACGGGACAATTTAGACTGTGTGGTGGGCACCAAAGCCTCTCCTCGACTGATGCATTTCTTTTCATGAGCTATGAAATTAAAATTACATTGTTTTATAATTTCTCCATGTAATTATGAGTCTTTTAATAGTTTCGTATCACTGTTACGAACAACAATAGTATAGTTATCAAAAGCAGCATATACAGGTATTCCCCGAGTTATAGATATTGGATAGATGTATGACGTGCACTTTCAGACAGAAGCCATCACAGGTAATAGGTAAACATATTTGTTCCAACTTACATACAAATTCTACTTAAAGGCCAGGCATGGTAGCTCACCCCTGTAGTCCTAGCACTCTGGGGGCCGAGGTGGGTGGATTGCCTGAGCTAAGGAGTTTGAGCCAGAGTGAGACCCCTTCTCTAAAAATAGCTGGGCGATTCAGATTGCATGTGAAAACCCCACACTGTACCCCAGAAGTGCATTAATGTACATAGTTACCATTCAATAAAAAAAAAAAAAAAAGAAGAAGAAAAAAAAAAATAGCTGGGTGTTGTTGTGGGCTCCTGTAATCCCAGCTACTCCAGAGGCTCAGGCAAGAGAATCACTTGAGCCCAAGAGTTTGAGGTTGCTGTGAGCTAAGATATGACAGCACTCAACTGAGGGTGACCAAGTGAGACTCTGTCTCAAAAAAAAGAAAGAAAAATTCAACTTAAAAAACAAACCTGCAAGGCTCAGCAACTGTAGCACAGTGGTTCTGGCACCCGTGATGTACACTGAGGGTGCAGGTTTGAACCCTGCCCCGGCCAGCTAAACAACAATGACAACTGCAACAAAAATAACCAGGCATTGTGGCGGGCATGTGTAGTCTCAGCTACTTGGGAGGCTGAGGCAGAAGAATTGCTTAAGCCAAGAGTTTGAAGTTGCTGTGAGCTGTGACACTATGGCACTCTACCAAGGGCAACACAGTCAGACTCTGTCTCAAAAAAAACAAACCTACAGAACCTATCTAATTCGTGACTTGGGGATTACCTGCATTGCTAACGTGAAATCCCTTTTAGACATCCCACACTTATTTGTTTAAGGATGACCACTTCAACTTCAGAATTATTATACTTGGTCACCTTGTATTGGGTTGAAACCCACAGCTCTGTAAAATATGCATATTTATTTTAACTGTAATGAATTTCTACATTAATAATAATTCATAATTCCCTATCAAAAATCTTTGGTGCTGGGTATATGGTGGAACTTAGAAAGTTTTCGATTTTAAAAAGGCTGTACAGGACATACACTCATGTTATATACCACCACCAGAGGGTCAAGGGTGATAAGCTGTAATTTAATACATAATATTACTGCAGCACAATGTATGAATATGCGTAAGAAGCAGGATAAGGAAAGGTAAGTTAGTTTCTGCTACCTAGTCACTTTTGGCACAAAACTAATGAAAAACCTTGGGTTTTCGGGGTTTTTGAATTTCAGAATTAGAGATAAGGGTTCATGGACCCATAGCCAATACAGTGACCATACCAAAGCTTTAAGCTATATTATTATTTAAACTCCTTTGTGCCAGATGTGTAACACACTTTAAATATTAAAAATAAAAATCCTAGAAGAAAACTCAATCTCAGTATGTATCATTCAAGAATGGTTTTGCTGTATAGATTTCAATTTCTCCTGTCATCATAGTATCTTAGAGAACTGTTTTAATTACATATTTACTCTGTACCCATACATCATAGCTTCCCAGCGGCGCAGTGCCAGAGGCTCCTTACCCAGATGATTCTGCCAGCACTTCATCCCAGCCTCTTCAATGAGTGGCCTCGCTACAGCTATGTCTACATGTCCCCTCTCGTTCACAGGCAGAGTCACTTTGAAAACCTCCTCCAAAACTTGCTTCTTGCTGTGTATCAGTTCAGTCCAAACTCTATTGACAGCTTTTATGAGAAGCTGACGCCCTGGTGAATGAAAGGAAAAAAAAAAAGGCAAATAATCAAAGCACAATATAAAGTGAGGTCTTATTTTTCTATGTTTTGTATCTAGGGATTTCAACTACAGTATTTAATTAGAAAGAAAATTACGTTACATCTAGCTCTGGAAAAGGTTATTTATCTAACCCAAACTACTTGGCTACTGGGAAAACATTTTAAACATCTTTAGAATCATGGAAAAAGATGACATTTTTATTTATAAAATTAGAAATTATATAAATTATCTAGCTTCTGATAGATAAGAATTATCTCCCATTTAAAAGAACAGAAAAAGTTCTGAATATTTGAGTTCAAAACTAAGTCAGTTTTTGAGTATTGTGCATAATAAAATAATAAGAAACATTTTAAACGATTTTTACTGATTAAATTCAGTATCGCTTTGGATTTCCTGTTAATTTGTCTGATTCCTTCGGTAGAACAGTCAATGTTTAGCCATCAGAATCGCCTGAGGGTCATTACAATAGATTGCTGGTTCCCATTCCCAGTTTCTGATTTAGCACATCTGAGTGGGACCAGTGAAAGTGTTTTTTCTACCAAGGGCCCAAATGATGCTAACTTTGCTAGTCTGAGGAGAACCAATGTCAGATTTCTCAGGGGTGAAAAAAACAATCCTTTGGTGTCTGGTGTTTAAGAAAGTTTGGTGAAAAGAGAGCGAAGAATGCTTAATTTGAATGAATGAAGGAATGAGTGCTGGTTTCCAAAGGATGAACCCATATGTGAAACTACCAAACAGAACTGCTGGGGAGAAAAACATTGCAGTAATGATTTCATCTTCATTGCTGAGCAGGTGAAAGTTAAGAGATGGACCCACACAGACTTCAGGGTGTAATGCATACAGTATCAGTGGGAAAACGTGATTTTATGAGAGAGAGAGAATACCAATGGTACTACTAACAAGCAATATTCTGCTTCTAATCTGGCATTCCTGATTCTACTTTATAGTAAATGCTAAGTTAGTATCTGCACCCCTGCTATGTCTGAAGCGTTTTAAGGGCTGCCATCTAGTCTCTGAGTGTTACTCAGAAATGGGGGGGGGGGCACATCAGTGCTCAGTGCTTCACCCACCTCGGCACACAGAGACACAGTGCTGGTGCGTGTACAAGCTGCCCCACCGGGAAAGTGGTTGTCAATGTTGGGAGTTTTTAAAGTTACTTTTTTTGGTTATGTCTTAAAAACCAGAGATAAAACAACACCAGCACCACCACCAGATTGAAGCAGTTACCTTCACTGATATCTTGGCTGTAACTACCATCTGGTTCAATATCGGAGGGGATCATAATGTGCCACGTGGTCATGCGGGCTTCCGCTTCCAATCCAAATCCGTCCACATTGCTGAAAAATTCCAGTTTAGACTATCTGAAGGAAATGCTTACAGCTGAAAAACTATGGCAACTAAGAATTACTCTGCAGACACAAGTAAACACGGATGCCCTCACAGACTCCCACTATTGGCAGATGTTACTGAATGTCAAATCATTAGATTCACAAAATAGAACCTGTAGTTTACTGTACTGATGCCTTCAGGGGTAGTCAAACAAATCCACTCGACTACATGGAATTAACTCATCTACGGTATAAAGATACTATCTTAGTAGTTAAGATGCTTTTGCATTGTTGTTAGTACTTTTACTTAAAAATTACCAAAAGTTCATTTAACTAAGAACATTCTACCAATAAGCTGTGTCCTCTCTCCAGGCCTATATCTCCTTACTCTGCTCCTGTAGCAGTGAAATACTCAGTCTCCTGACTGTGTCACACTTTCTCCCCTCTGGGCACTCACATGCACTGCTCTTTCTACCTGCAGCAACTTGTCCCCATTCTCTTGTCCTCCCCAACTAGGTCTCAAGTGGCACCTCAGCAGGTATTTCCTCCAGACCAGGGGCCCTGGTTTGCCCTCCCAAAACACTGTGCTGCTTCTAGCAGAGCACTCGGCACACATGGCGGGTCTTGCTTCATTATCTGTTTTCCCTTTGAGAGGTCACCGCACGGTGTGTCTTACATGTTATCCTAGCTCCTAACTCAATGCCTGGTCCCCAGGAGACACTAAAGAAATACAGCAAAGCCATCAGTAGTAAAATACTAATTTTACCCATTTAATATAGACTATCACTTCAAGTTTTTCTTTTTATCTTTCTTAGCCTCCAACAGTATGTATTTAATTTACTTTAAAAGCAAATTTCTTCCAAAAAATTATGTAAGTGACATGAAGAACTTATGGAGAATTTCAGAGATACAGAAAGTAAAAGAAAAAATACCCATCCATTTTTTCCATTGCAAAAATGTAACACTTGCCCTGTACCTTTTGTGTAAAGTTTTAAATAAAATCAATTAAAGGCAAAAAGAAATGTGACTATCAAAAAAATACAATAATGAATTCTGGCAGAATTTTATCAAAGAGAAATTTAACATGGCAAACTGAACCTAAAGGATTTACCTTCCGGCATGCAGATTAATCAAGCAGTGAGCCAGACAGCTAATGAATTCTTGGTCGTGGTTCCCAGGCCCCAGGATCAAGTTCCTGTTCACAGTGAGGACCCTGAGTGAATCCAGGAGAGCTACTTGCTGAGGAACAGTCTTGTGTGCCCGTGAGAACTGGTAAAGGATGGTTCTATTGAGGCAGTGATAAACTGCATCCAGAGACAATCCCTGGGATCTTCTCTTTGACTAAAGATATAAAAAGTTAAGTTTTCAGTAAAATGGACGACAATAAAAGACGTGTTCATCATTCACGCGTGAATTTTCATTAGGTCTATTACGTACCAGATGCTAACTGCTAAAGGTACTACGTTGAAATACACAAGCCCTTGTTACTACAAGGTTCAGGAGCCATGAGACACACAAATGCAATTCAATGAATGAGAACTACATAAACAGAGCTTCCAGCCAGGTGCAGTGGCTCATGCCTGTGACCCCAGGCTCATACCATAACCCCCGCACTCTGGGGGACCAGGGTGGAGAGCTTGAAGACAGGAGTGCAAGAGCAGCCTGAGAGACAAAGTGAGACCCCGTCTCTACAAAAAGTTAGCTGGGTGTGGTGGCACACTCCTATACTGCTAGTTCTTACAAGGCAGAGGGGTGGGGGTGGAGGATGGCTTGAAGGTTGCAGTGAGCTATGATGATGCCACCACACTCTGACCTGGGGCAAGAGAGCTAGACCCTGTCTCAGAAACAAAAGCAAAAACAGAAACAACAAAATAGATCTCTTAGGAAAGACAGCCGCTAATACTCCTAAGGGGCAAAGCAGCCTCCCAGAGAACAAGAAATATCATCTGGGTGAAGTCTCATATTGAGCAAACTTAATTAAATTATATGACCGCTACTCAAAATTACCAAAAAAAAAAAAAAAAGAAAAAAAATTACCTAATATTAATTTAAGAAATCTCCTAACTCACCCCTTGCCTCTGAGCATTTGTGCCAAAAAATAATTTTTCTTTTACATTCTAGTTTCATCCTCTCATTTGAGGATTTTCACTCTGGCTTAAACACAAATGTACCTCTTAAAAAATTCTTAAGTGACATGAGAGGACCAATGTCCCTTCACCATATGCTAACAAACAGAGTAGCGAGATTTCCCACTTTCTATATAATATATTGAATAAAATTAATCACTCATGCTGAACCAAAGCAGGTCGATAGCCTTTAGTTAAAAGTACCATAAACATACAAAATAAATAAATAAATAAAATAAGAACCGCAAAGGAATATGGACTACAGTGGACTTTGTCAAAGATTCAACTGATCAGAGACTGTTCCTTAACATCAACTCTTCATGTTCTGCAAGCTTTTACAAATTGATATACTGTATAAAAACAAATCAAATTGTATTAACTTAAGGTATTTAAATCTATCTGGGTAGTGAAGATCAGGGCCAGTGAGGAGGTCGGTGACAGAGATGATAGCTTGAGAGAAATAGGTACCGTTATAAGGGACACGCTGGCGCCATGCCAACAGAGGAAAAGTTAAAAGTCCATGTTCTTTAATTCACTTTTGATAAGCATAGTTCTGTATTAAATGTTAACATTCACTATCATATTAGTTACACTTATGTCCAACAATTCTGACACTAAAGGCTAAGTTTTTCAATGGGAAAACATGTACTCTAAGACTAACAGTGACAATGAATTACCTGTGCAATTAGTTGAATTATAAAATCTATGAGAAGTTTAGATTCTTTGTTGAACATGCCTTGCCAAAGCTTGTCCACCACACGTTGCGTGAAATAAAACACATTGTTCACCAATACCTGGTAGCTTCCTCCACTGGTAATAGGCAGAGACGCATCTTCCCCTGAATTCCAGTAGGAAAAATATGTCTGAGAACTTGATATCTACCAGCACAAGACCAGATCGTCAAATAAATCAGGCCAAGAAAAATGAGTCTAACTATAACATTTAGAAATATGGCCACTAGCTCATACAAATTTTTTTAAGAAAATGATGCTTATGGTCAGAACCTAGAAGAATCTGGAAGAAATAATTTCAGCAGGAACAGAGTGTTATGAATTGAGAGTACCTGTGAAGTTTCCTGCTGCCTAAAGAGAGTCTGTGATAAACACATGTTCTGCCAGTTACAAGTGATCTCCATCTGAGAGAAAACTAAGTCAGTTATTAGCTATAAATTGAGTTATTAGCTCAATTAAATAAGTTATTAGCTTACTTTATGTAAGTAATAAAGAGTAAAACAAACCATCAAATAAAACTATTTTTGAGTATATACCTTTACTAACAATGATGCCAGACAGGCAGAATAGAGCTTCAGAAAAACTGCAAAAAATACACCACAATGGTGGTATATTTGGCGCCCTGCTCCCCCGGCCCCTGCCATTATTACCATCAGCATTGTCTTTTTAAAACCACCCAGTGTCTTCAGAGTGCTTGCTGCATTACACACTGTGTCAAGACTAACCCTCTCAGGTAGCTAAAATGTTCCCACAAAGCTCTTCTGGAGGCTCCACTAGACGTGATTATCATTATTCCTATCTAAGTCCACATTGCTGCATTAGCCCAGACTCTTCATTTTGTGTTGTCCTATAGTAGGAATGATTTCAACTGGTAAGGGTAAGCACCAATGGGACTCCACACTCAAGTTTAAGAGTACACAGTTGCATGTTAATATAGTAATAAAGATTTTCTGGAAAATTTACTCTTAAGAAAAATATATTTTAACAGCACAGAGGTTCTTACAACTAATATTATCACTAGGACCTCAAGGTAGCATATGTAGTACACTAAACCATTGCCTTTTCCTTTCCTATAAAGTCTATCTTTGTTTTATATATAAACATTGGCTTTATTATGATAAATATCAAGTTTTGTATTTTTATTAATTAGATATGGGCATACAGAAAAAATACATTTTAATGTGTTTTGATGTTTTTCCTGGAAGCCATCCTTGGCCTTTTGGCTAAGATCAAGTCTAAAAAATAAAACATACATATCTGGGATGTAACAATTTTACTCATAGGTATATGATCAAATATAAATATTGTTATGTTTACAACATAATATAATATACAAAGAAATATTGTTCCCATATGTAGTCCTTATGAACAAGAACGTTTATAGCAACTTATTATTATCTCAAACTGGAAACTTCTAGATAGCTATCAAGAGTAAAATGGATAAACTTATATATTCATGATAGCATACCACTATCATGAGAGAATAATGAGAATAAATGGACTCATGGTCCATGCAACAACATGGATAAACTGTGAAAATATAATGTGGATATGAGAAGTTAGACTAAAAAGAAAGGAGGAAAGAGAGGAAGTTAAAAAGGAGATATGTCAGGGATTTAGTTAGAGAAAGAGAGTGATTATAGGTACTAGTATAAAATAAAAATAAAACAAAGAATTACCCAATAACACATCAGCTGCAAGCAAATGGTCCATCACACTATCCAAAATGTGAGTCTGAAATTCTTTCTGCTGAGTTCTTGTAGATCTTTCAGGGGAAGCCTAACCAACAAAATTTAAAATTAGAAACAGAACCAAACAAACAAAGGTCAGGCTAAATCCTATTTGAATTACAAAAAATTAAAAATCTATACTGTTAGATTAAAAAAAAAAAGATGGGAGAGATGGTATATTTGTGGACAATCTCTTATTTTTTCCCCCAAATTTAAAAAATTTAAAGCAAAGGTGAAACATCATCATCTTTCAAATCCATCTCTCCAAATAGTATTTTAAACACCACAAGTATTTAATAAATATTTGATATACAATTATATTTCACTTCCAAAAGAAATTTGACAGTTAATAATGAATATAGATATAGTAACAAATGAATCACAAAGCCCTTAAAACAAATATAAAAGCTCTAGAATCTAGTAATCAAGAGAGCATGTCAACAGGGAGTGAAATATTTATAATATTAATAAAAAACAATTTAGCTCTGAGCTTCAGGCGTCAAGGAGGAGAACAAATATGATTTACAAAGCTTTTTATTATTCATAGAAAGAAGCATAATAGATTGTCAGAAAGGATGTATGTTTTCCTAAAATTGTGCTGAGAAAAATGTCCTCTGTAGGTATAAGGACAGCAAACAACCTTTAGGTAATACTTGGATAACTTTTCCAAAGTGCAAAGATGATTTTAAAAATTATCGTGAGTAAAAGTTTAGGGTACGAAGTTACATTACAGTCTTCTGACAGATTTCCATTGCTAACTAGGGTAAGACAATCCAGGTGTGTAACTTCCATGTACATAACCTACCAAATGGCAAAGCACCGGGCAGTGGATGAAAAGTAGGAAAGAGCCTTTTGTCATCCTTCTGAAAGGCCAGTAGTTTTAGCCAGGATTTTGAAAGGAGTTAGATATTGAGTAATTCAATAAACTGTTTCGTTCTTTCTTACAAAGAAGTCTGTATGTTTTAGATTCAAGCATGGTATTGATGCTTTACAAATGAAATGAAAAGGACCTATTTATTCTTGCATACAGAGATACAGGATCATGTTTATGACCATGTTAAAAAAGTGGGGTGATAGAACACTGTTGCTTTTTTTCCCTATTATGATTTTCTAGGTGGTCCTATTAAAGGCTTTAAAGGAACAGCTGAAATCTGAGTCCTATAGCCTGAACTCAATAACCTAAGGATTCAAAAACTAACAATTAAAAGTTGTGAAGAACATTTCTCTCTCTCTTTTTACATGAAAAGACATTTATTTAATTTTAAAATGACAAAATATGGGTCTGGTAACAGATGGAAGAACACCGGTACTAGTGAGGGATTCTACCTAAAAAATGCAAACACTGTAACTTAATCCTTTGTACCCTCAAATAAACCTGAAACAATTAAAAAAAAAAAAAGGAATACGAAGTGTGTAGGAGTTTGGTTTGTCATTTACCTAATTTTGGCAAAAGTGAAGAACACCTCATACTGTTTTTAATCTTAACAAATGTTCCTGTGTAGTTGCATAGATTAGTACAATGTTCAGCAGGAGGCGTGTGACCGAGCCTGCCTAGTCTTCCCAGGCTGGTATTACATTCAGTCTCATCCCTGACAAATGAAGAGGAAGTGAGCACTTTCAAGTGATTAACAGCAGACTAACAGTCCCATGAGGGCGTCCTTCTAAATTAGATCAAAGACCATTTTATGCAACAGCTTAGTGATCAGAAATTACTATGGAATGAGGCTCTTCCCTCACAGGAAGACATAAACACTCTGAAGACAACAGTGCTCTTTGAGAACTGTACTCAACTTGGGTGATGAATGGGACATGTAAGGCATAGGGTTTATCAGACTTTAACTAGACCAAGTTTGGAGTCTACAGAGGGACTGTGATAGAGAAGTGCTTGGTCAATCAACAGTATTTACTTTTATTAACATTCTTCCTTAACTTTGAAGAATTTAAGGCTGGCTCTGATTCTTCTCTCTGAGGCTAATATGTGAGTGGCCAGGACCCAGAATTTCTACTTGTTTTTGGCTCTAGTGGCCTCATTCAAATGGTTTTGCTGAGATTTTGCACAACCTGACCTTGAAGGGACTTATGATTTTATGAATGCATGCATTGTTGTCTCTGAGATGTTCTTTTTCTTTTAAGACAGTTACCTGGACCATTGTTATGTGCAGTCTGCTCAGCTGCATACATTATCTCATTTAATCAGCAAAATATTCCTTGAAGTAGATCCTAACATGTCCAGTTTAGAAAGTAATGAGGCTTGGTGAGGGTAAGTTACTTGGTCAAGCTGAAGATAGGATTCTAACCTCCATTTTTTTGAAATCAAAGCCTAAGGGCTCACAAGATAGCATATGGCTTCCACTCCACCCAAATCTCTATGTTGCACAGTCACAGATGCACAGTAAGAGCAACCCTGCAGAACGCAGGCTGCAACCCCATCATGCTTTTGAATTAAACCAGTTGGCCCACCAGACAACCTAAACACTGCCAGCTCTTCTGTCCTCTGTCAGACTTGTCTTCCTGGTGAAAACAGTGATACCCGTCAACATATCAATCTTCCAAGGATCGCAGTCTCCTTTTGGAAGCTTTGGGAACACCACACAGAATCCTTGTGTCCCACAGAAAGGCCAGACAGCCTGTGGGAGAGAGCACTGTGGCTTGGGAAGACCTTGGAATTCTGTCCTGTTTCTGTGATGGATGAGAAGTCTATGAGAAGAGGATGGTAAGTTTCCTGGTTCTGACTTCAGTCCTCTCCGGATGCACTTCTCCTCCCTGAGTTACCTCACGGTTTTGCACGTTTCGCCCCTGTTTCTTGCTTGTTGCTTCTCTGCAGTCACTCGGGTTGGCCGTCCCTCTGATTTGGAACAATGGGAAACTCTTATAGATGGTGGTTGGAATATGTATAGTGAGCTCCTCAGACGGACCACAGACAGTTGTTTATGGTCTCGGAGAACCACGCACCCTTAGTTTGGTTATCTTTGCCTCTAGATATCTTTAAGTACTTTCTGAGCTCTCCTCACGTACTTTCTTTCCATACCACAGTAGCATTCATTTGTAGCAAATTCACCCGGCCCTCCTGAGAAGTCTTCTGGTGAAAACAGAGGACCCTGATGAGCAGGAGCTGGGAGAAGAGGCCCTAGATGCCCTTGTAGAAGCCAACATAAGCCACTTAATCAATTTTTTTAGTGTGTCGTGAGTGTCATCAGGCATCATGTTTTGAATACTAAATGGTACCTTAATTCTCACAGTAATTCCCAGTTTCCATTTTAATATATCATTTTACAGATGTGGAAATTGTAAAGGGTGACGAGCGCTGAATTTGACCAAGTTCACACAGCGATATCTGGCACACGTGTGATTCCTCAAGATACTTTTAGCTGGGGGACGTACGTACAGTGCAGTTCACCCTCACAACAATCCTGCAGAGGAGATACTAAACGCCGGCATTCCCAGAGAAGGAATTTAGCTGAGGGAGATTACAACATTTGCATAGTAAACAAGGGTCAGAATTTAAACCCAGGTACTTCTTACTCCCAAACCCATGCTCTTTCTACTACACCACACTGCCTCCCTCATCTGTGGCCTCAGTGTCACCCTCAAGCCAGATTGTATGAGCAAGAATCTTTTATTTTTACAGATAGCTCATAAAGACAACTTCACATTCTTATGGACAGAATCAAGCAAGTAGATACTCTTATGATGAAACAAACACTCCTAAGACTGAAGATGGCCTGGTTCATGTTTACTGGATGAAAAATCAGCTGGTTCTGGTCTATTCCTTGATTTAGATAA